CAACTATATTTTGTGGTTCAAGTTTTCCTTTTCTTTAAAATTAAGGAGATAACTTGCTTTTTAACTTGTTTTTCCTTTTTTACCGCTGTACCGATGTAATCCAGTACTTTTTCAGGCAGTGGCTTCAATAGTACTCACTCCATGCAATTTATTTTCTGTTAGGTAGAGTGAAGATGGAGTTGCTGCTGGAAATTCAGGAAAAAGTTCTTTTTTCCACTTGATTTTACTTCTCTGTTTTGCCAAATAAGTCACAGAGTATAGAATAGTATTTGTCAGCTGGACTTTGCATCCTCATTCACATAACTACTCCATGCTTTTTAGAGGCTTCCAGAAACGTTAGAAAAGTGACTCATCAAACAAAATCTGTCTTTCTCTGGACTGAGTGTGCCCATGCATGTGTGTTAATGTTGATAACCAAGGGATCATGCTAGCTTACCTTTGTTCAGACTACTTCCAAAAAACCCTCCTTATATTAGCTTTAACATCTGTGAGAAATCAATACTCTCACCTTTATTTAAAGTCCAGTCATTTTTTGATAGAATATTGCGGTCTGGCTGGGAAAGTTTTAGCCCTACGCCATCTAACTTCCAGCAGGTTCACACAGTGGAGCTATTGGACTTTGTAATTGTGTAATTCTGCCATATGCTGTCTTAACTAGATTTCTTATTACAATCCAAATATGCTTGAACAAAATAAGACCACTATTTGCCCTTTTGCCAACCTCCTCCTCCTGAAGTTTGAGGATTTCTGTATAGCCATGGTACTTCCAGCATTTCCTTTGCGACTATACACGCATCCTTCTTTGACCTGTGAAAAGCTGTTCATTTTTCATACGCAGGATGTGGGTCAGTTGGTAAGGATGCTGCAGTGCAGTCAGCTTCTCGTGGCAATCAGTCTGCTGTGTTATAGCACAGAACCAGTGAAAATGTATAGTCATTGTGTGTTTAGTGTGATGGGTCAGTTAGCCTAAGGAAAACCTGATCTCAGCACATAGGCCAGTATATAAGAAGAAAGTTTCTCCTCCTCGTTCTTCTGGGCTGATCCTTAAGGATACAGCAGAACTAATCTTTTTCAAGTTTCCCCCCCAAATAAACTCCGCGCAGCCTGTTACCATGTCCTTTACATCCTCAGCTATGATGATGGTTAGCAACCGTAGCAAGCTTACGTGTCCAAATCTGGCCAGTGGCAGGGGATTAATGGTGTGACTATGGAATAAAGCTTTTTTTTTTTTCCAAAACATTACTAAAATTAATTGTTCTTTGGAAGATTTCCTCAGAATTTGTAACATCAGTCTCCCTGGGGGATGGAGGGACGTACTTGCCACTTTTCTCCATAGACAGCAATTTCCAATGCTGTTCTGAGTGCTGAGGTTATTTATTTCTAGGGATATCACAGGCTGCCTCTCTTTTGGGGGAAGTGCTGCTCCCTCAGAAGACTGACTGGTTGGTTTTAACGTATAGGAAAAATGTCTGTAACTCTCAAATGCTATGGACAGCTCATCAGATGTTAAGAGGCCCAGATTGTTCTGGAGATTTTCTTTTAGCTTTGCTCCTTGAGCAGATTTGCCATCTCATAGGTGACATTAACTTCTTTATAATGCAGTGCCCCAGACGGGTCTATTCACCCACGTATTTGCTTAGAAGATTGCAAAAGGAAAGGATGGAACAGCTGAAAAAAAAAACAGTTTCAGCAGCATAACCTTAGTGTTTTTCCCATGTGCCATGTCAAACACCACTTAAAATTAAAAATAAAAATCCCCCTCCCTCCTCCTCCTCCTCCAGGAACAGTCCTCTGGTTTAACTTTTTGGGCTCTGCTCAGCTTTTCCCTGCCGAGCTCCGCAGGCAGTGTTCAGCGGGGTCGGTTGGCGGAGTTGCTGGTATGACTAATCAAAACTGCTATGGCCTCTTAGCGAGGAGTGGTAACAAGGCTCCTTTGTGAGTCTAATTATATCCCCTAAGCTGGCACAGCGGCGCGGATTAGCGCCGGAGGAGGACAGTCGGTCCCCGAGGGCTGCAGGGTCCCATGCTCTGCTCCGCCAGCATCGCCCACTTTTGCTGGCAACAGAGCCCAGGTGGGTGCCACCCTGGCCCACAACTGGGGCCCCATCGCATCTCTCTTGGCTCGGTCCCACTCCCTGACGTGGAAGCTTGCCCGCTAGCCAGGAGCCATGCCTGGTCCCTGAGGAAGGATCTGGGGAGGAGGCACAGCACAGCGCAGTGCCTGGGTAGGTACCTGGTGCTGGGCCAGAGCAGGGATGCTCCTGCCAGGCTGGCTGGGAGGCAGGGCACCAACACCTCATCAGATCCTCATCGTTGGGATAAGCAAGTGCTTAGGGTGCCTTTCTCTTTGCTTTTTTTTGTATCTTACCAACTTGTTCGGGGTGTCGGGGGCGGGGGGAGAAGCTGTGCAGGGTTGGCTCAAATGCATCTGATTAAAATTTCTTAATAGGATTGTGGAAGGGGAGTCGGCAGGTGTGGAAGAGAGGAGGTGACTTTGAGAAAAGTATTTTGTGGTTTGCTTGCCAATTTGCCTCCCATTTCTCACGCACACCTGGCTTCTGCATGCTTTGTGTTGCTGAGCAAAACCACTCATCTCCCAGGAAGGACATGTACTTGGGGTGGTTTGCAGTTGCTACTTTCTAAGAGGTCTGCAACTAGATTTCCTGGGCCAGTCTCTTCATCCCAGTATCTATCATCAAGACATGGAGTAGCAGAGTTAGTCTGTTAGTGAAACTTAAAATTGTCAAGTCCTGAGAGTTTTTCAGTCCTGAGCTTTTATTGGTGTGAAAAGAAAATTCAATTGAAAAAGTTTCCCAGGCTGCGAGCAGTTTGCCGACATGTGCAGAGATTACGCAAGGATGCAAGGGGAATTTACGGAACAGCGCAAGAGGAAACGAGTATGCTGATAAATGTGTGAGACCAAAATTGTTTGTTCTTCCCTATAAATCTAAAGAAGGGATCGTGGGATTTTTCCTTGGGAAGCAGCAGAACTTCAAGTAGTGAGCAAAACTGGGGGGGAAAAAAAAAATCTTTTAGATAAGCTTGTCATGCAGTTTTGGGAAGGAGAGGGAGGGTGTTAAATGATAAATTTGGCCGAGTAGGATTTTTTCCTCACTCTGCCAGGCAGTCACTGCTTCCTGCTCTTCAAGAACATATGCTGTGAAGGTGGGGTGCCGGAGCAGCGTGGGCTCAGGATGTGTTTCTCTATCTGCTTAGTGGTGACCAGACAGAGCAGCCAGCTCCATTAGAGAAATCCTTAATCTAGTGAGGCTAATGGAGCTTCCCTCCAGCACGAGCTGCTCAGATAGGAACTGCCCGTTGTATTTGTGGGGCAGGATCGCAGAAGAGTTATGATCAACTTCTGCGGGTCACTGTTGGTTTATAAGGCGGCATAATAAAACATAGCAGAGCATTGGCACATAAAACACATCACACATTTCTGCTGACCTCACTGAACTTCAAGTAAAGCTATAAAATATTAGACTTTCATTAATCACTTGGAGCTCATATGTAGTATTCAATGTGTCTCTTTCAGTGATCTTTTTTTTTTCTATATGAAAGACATCTTTCCTATTCTTTGAGGCTGTTTAAACTTCCCTGAGGGAACTCTGTACCACCCAGTGTCACAACCCAATTTTGTTTTCCAGCTGAAGACTAACTCTAGTACGTATAATGCAAACAGCTGAGTATTCAGTGTTAGACAGAGCCATATTCACTGCTCTGAGTTTAAAAATAGTGATGTAGGCACAACTTGCATGTGAATACAGCATTTTTATTTGTTGTGAGATTGTCTGTAGATAACTTGATCAGGCTCCATACCTTGGTTTATGCAGGAAGAATGCACGGATTAATTCAGTTATTGAACTACTCAGTCACTTCAGAGGGACGCTGATAGACCCTGCAACGTTTTAACACACAAGCTTTAGCAGCAGAAGTAACTATTTATGAATATTAGCTAGAGCTTTTTTTCCTGTATTTTGTCATCCATTGTAACTGATCTGGCCGTGGAAAATCATTGAGGTAGTTTCTGACTTGATTTCTTTGTATCCAAGCACATGTTTCAACTTGTGGTTTTTTAGTTTTATTTTTGCCAGATTGACTGTCTTGTAAAACTTATTTTTAGTGATAATTAGGGTGACTAAAGATTGAGATCTGAAGGAGTGGTGTGAGGTGGGCTGGAAGAGGAATAATCGATTGAAGATTTGTGGTGTTACTGCTGTGAAGTGATTCTGTTTTCAATCTTGCTCGGAAAATAGCTTTTATTTTGCTGTGAAGTGACTGAACCCAGCTTTCAAGTCTAATGGTGTTAAATTGGGTGCATATCTTGGCACATTCAGTTTCTGCGAAATAAGCCTAAAGGCCTGCAAGAACATATCACTAAATGAAATCAGCTCTGCTCTGGGAATCCCAGAAATCAGACTTGTCTGGTCACTTCTAAACTTCCAGCTCTAAGTGGGTTTAAGTGTTTTAAGGCTGCCATACATCTGCTGAAAATAAGGCCTGTACGTGTTCCCAAGGTATCCAAATCAAGGGAAACAGTATTGTTGCAGTTAACAGGTTAAAGAGGGGTTTATTTTTTGATCAACATAAATTTACTGAAGACTTGAGTGTGTTTACGCAGTGGCTGGACTAGAGTCAGTTCTTCACCTGGACCCACAGCTGGGACCCGCAGGGGTGGCACAGGGGACGGCCACTTGTCCGTGTCTGCTGCTGTCTCTCTGGGACAGGGGCTGAGGTGGCTGTCGTGGGTGAAACTTTGGCAGAGGTCTAGCTGGTTTGATATCCTTGCGTTTGTTGCATTTCACTTTCATAAACTGTCAGTCATAGTTCCCGTCTGCATTTCTGGAAGGGTCTCGTTATTGAGAAGAGTGAAGAAATTGAGCCCTCTTTCTGTGCGGAGGAGGGAGGGAGGAAGGTTTGGGCAAGACGGAGACCAGGACAAGTCTGTGTATCCTGTGTGTGGAGAGAGCAAAGGGACCCATCTTCTCCAGGCACGGCTGCTAGTCCCTTTGCAATAAGGAGCATCCCTGTCTCTGGGTGACCCAGATACTGACCCATAAGAGAGACGGTACAGGGGAAGAAAGGTCATTCTTATCTGTTCTTGCTTCTGTGGCCATCAGCTGCATCTTAGTCTCGCTTAACCACTGTGTCCTTATCAGCACTGCCCTGTAGCAGGGACGATTGAAGTTGGGGTCCAGCTCTGTTTCTGACAGAACAAAATGTCAGGCGATGAAGCAGGACGTAGAGCCAGGCACAGCAGAGGAGCTGGCTTCTTCCACTTGGCTCACTGCAGCCCCCATCTCCTGCCCAGGAATGGCAGGCGGTGGCCTGGCCTTTCTCAGGGTCAGGGGCATCTGCAGCCTGGCATCAGGGGCACCTGCAGCCTGGCAGGCTGGTACGAGCTCTCCTTGACAGCCGTGACAGCAGTGACATCGGTATACCTGCCCATGCAGATCCCCTCTACTTCAGTGGAGTCTGTACGCAAAGTGTTAGAGAGATTGGGCCCAAATTAATACAGGCATAGGAGGAGAGGAGCTCATGCTCCAAGAGATTGCAGGAAAATATCTGCCTTTTGCCAATGGAGAAATTGTAGATGGATGCGTAATGTTTCAAATTGCACTGCTTCTTGTTATAATGCTGTTACAGCTGCAGTCATCGGTTGGAGATTAAGAAGGGGACAGAACTTGGAATTCAACAATTAGCTTCTCCACCTGAAACCTGAGCTGCCCTGGGAGGTAAGGGGGGAGAGGTTACCTCGGAAGATGATTGTGCAACTATAACCACCTTATGCCTTGGGCTTCCAACACGTTAAGGCAGCTGAGATTTCGTGCTCAAATTATGACCTTTGTAATGTGCCAAAACTCTAATGTCTGTTTTAATCTGAAAATAGTTATGACAATAAAAATCCTTTTTAAAAACAGTGCCATATATCACATTGATTTACAGTTGCATAGCTATCTCCAAATGTCATATTCTGTGGAAGCATTATAAATTTTTACATGTACTTATATGTGTAGTCCAGAAGGGGCTCCTCCAGAAGAGGAGGTTTTCTTTTTTTAATTCTTCGTCGCTCCCCCCCCCTTTAAATTTTTTTTTTTTTTTTTAATGGAGCAGTTATTCCTTTCAAATCTGTCTTCTTCTGAGACCAAGATGCCTTAAGGGAAAGTTTCTGCATAAAAACCTTATTCACTTCTTTATTAATATGGAAAATATTCTAATTTTTTCTACGGTATTGCATTCATCTTTTGTCTCAGTTATGGCTAAGCTGGAATCGATGGGTCCTGGATGCTGTGTGACGTGGCCAATATTTATTTGGAAGATTACTTGAGAATCCCAAGTGTTGTGAGAATAGGCTGAGAAGCAGTATTTGAGTTCTGAACAAGTGTGAGCTCTTAAAAGACGAGCAAAAAGACTTCATGTAGGCCTGTTGAGTTGGTTCTACTTCTTATTCCAGTGTTTTTTCTGACTAAAAAGGACTATATCATTTGGTAATGGAGTCCTGCGGTATTGTTCTAAATATTTATTTCATTAAATACCATTCCTGCAGTGCATCTGCTTTAACCATTCCTTTTTGTGAACAATTTTACCATGTAATGTATCGTCGATGTTGCATTATCCTCTGTGTTTCTATGCCACCTCTACCAGCACGGTTTCAGCAGAGGTTTAGAAAAGTCTTTTGGGTAGCGAAGTCTAAAATGGGCTACAAGTTTGTCATTCTGTATGAATTCCCTTACTGGTCCTGTTGGCGGGTAGTATTTTCAGTATTCCTTCTCTTAGGTCTTGCTAAACCCGAGTCATTTCTGCTGCTGTATTCAGGGAAAAAAATGTGATATGCCACTTGGAAATGTTTCAGAAAGTACGAAAGCCAAAATTTTACTGTCACTGTGATGTAGAAATAATTGGAGGGTTGGGTTAGAATACTGATGCAGAAATTCAAGAAATAGGAAATTGAGCTGTCCCTGGTATGGCACTGTTGGTCTTGTCATGGCAGGACGTCCGTAACTCCTTTTTAGTGTGGTGGTGATCTCAATATTACAGCTTTAGGCTGTGCAAGAAGGGATAGTAATTGTTCCCTGAAGAAAACAGAAGCTGTTTGTGGCCAGTTTGCACCGGTTTTAGATTAGGAATAAGATGGTTCGTTATTAGGGGTTGGTAGTGCTGCATCCTCTATGTGTTAACATAGCTTCTGTGTTTTGGAAGTTGGATAAATAATTCCCACCTCAAGGAAGGACAGGTATTGGGTTTAATTTTTATGCATGGAAATTTATAGTTATGGTATTGTGAATCCAGAGGTGTTGAGAGCAAGATTTTTAAAGCTTGAGATACTGCTTTTGATGTCTACAAACTGGAGGAGGCTCAGTTGCCAGTGTAGGGTATGTCAGGAGTAAATTGGGGTTGGGTGGTCTGGAGCAGAGGCTGCTGAGAGAATAGGAGATTCTTTTTGAGAAGAGTATTTTGTTTGGTGACCTTGTCTATGTATTTCTGAAATGTCCTGTGGAATCTGGTGGAACAAAAGCAGATCCTTGTCTTCCTATGCTTTCTTCATTCATGTTGAAGGTCAGTCAATACGCACATCCACACATGGTGTGGGGTTATATTTTTTTTCAGGCATACGGTGTTGATTATTCTTAGCTCATAGATGATGTGGGAGTTTTACATGTTAGATATGTCGAAATTTTGTAGATTTTGGAAGGTTCAGCTCTGAAGCCTAATTTGAATTCAGGCCTGCAGATTGTCCATAAACTAAATACATTTTGAAGGCAATTTATCTAAACCATTAAATAATTCTTACCAGCCATTGACAGAGCTCTTAAATCTAGTATAATTAACTAGCCTGATACACTGGATTTAATACATATTCAATGTTTTCCTACATGTTATAACTTGATTATTAAGTGACTACAGCATCATCTTCTATCATTGCAACTCTCCTTCTGACACTACAGTTGATCGACAAAAAAGCCTGTCTGGCTGCCAAGATAAAGACACAGGTGGTAAAGGACTGTGTCAGAACCGACTCACGAAAGGAGTGCGAGTTTGCCACGTTCTTGGAGAGGGGAAGGTGGGAACAGCCAACCCCAAACAAGTATGGGACAGGGGCTGGAGAGAGGAAAGGATGCAAAGGTGGAGGTGGTGACGGTGCTCCAGCGGGAGCATCCAGGGAGATGGTTGAGCTGAGCGAAGAGCTGCCAGCACAGAAGGTGAAGATATGAAAGCTTGTTGCAAGGAGCTTCTGTGATTGCTAGGGATTAGGAATTGAGTGGACTGCTGTTAGACCAGGCTTGTTCATCAGGTCATGGTTATTCAGTGCTTAACAGCTTTCCTTAATTAAGACACTATTTTCTTCAGCTATAATGTGTTTTCAATACATTTTATGTTTGGGATATGAGGGATTCATAAAGTTGATTAGGAGCCCAATTTTCATTTGTTTTTTTCTGCTTGTCAAAATAATTTAAACTCGTATCAGAGTTGAGTACACTAGGGCAGCCATAGCCAAGGCAAGGCAGCCTTGTCTTAGGATGACAAGGCTGCTACTAACACTTTTTCTTTGCCTGAAAATTTTATTCTTTATTTTTAATTTCTATACATGAGTTTCACTGTTGCTTGAGACTACCAACTGTTCTCTCTCTCAGCTGTTCATTGCTGCAGTTTGTACGTCTATGCATGTTATGTGCACAGTCTTGGATGTCTGGGGTTCTTTGCCTGTGGCTGATCCAGCTGTCAGCAGACAAGGGGACGTAGGCAGCGGGGCTCAGCTGTCTGAGGTCAGAGAAGAGTTTTTTCATATACCGAGCAGATTAGTTTTCATCATTGGTTCATCCCATTCCAGTGAAGTATGTCACAGGGGGTTTTCCCAAAGGGATGGATGCTAATAGGCAAGGAGAGGTGGTTCTGACAAACAGATGGGGTGCATGCTGCTGTTGATGGAGAGAGGCAGAGTCTTGAAACAAACTCTGGTATGGCTCCAGTGTTGCCGGTAGTAATTTAAATTTGTGTATGTCAGCCCTCCTCTGTTTATTTTGGAAAACAGTGCACAGTTGGCAAACTAACAGTAATGTTGCTGTTGATGATTTCTGATGCTAAGAGCTTCACCTTTCAATTCACTTTCCCAACCTATTGAGCTGGCATACTAGTTTTTTTAATCTCATGTAAGCAGCATTTGGTCAATTACGATGTGAGAGCATTTCCATTTAATCTTCAGCAGATACCTAATATAACAACCTTCAACAAATTTTCATCCCAAATAAAGTTCCATTCAGGTATTTTTCATATTCAGGGAGTAAGTGTGAAAGAGAGGAGATGGTGTGTATTGTTTTTATGAAGCTCACTATAGATCTGCAGATGTAAAAGGCATTGCCTTAAAATACTTACTGTGATGATATTTACCAGTAGTTTTTCAGGTTTATTGCTCACCATGAGCAGGTATTTTACACATACTAAGTTTAATATCTATAAAAGTGTGGTTGTGATGTCTCCACTTAATTAACTTAAAATTTCAAGTCCTGATGTTTCTGGCTCAGCTAGGAAGGCCCCCTGTTTGTTGGCTCTTGAAGAGGGGTTTATGCAGTCACTGTGTGGCTGCTCACCCAAAGCCTAAATTTACTGTCCCTCTTTGGAAGGACATTTAAGGCTCTCCTGGATAGACTGTGAATGCTGGCATGGAGCATTCTTTAGAAAAGGCATTTAAATTCCTCCTGCCTAGCCTCAGGACAGCAGGAACTTGCAGCATCCAAGGCTGAATCAGTGAGAAGCAGTAGGACAAGCTTACAAAAAGGGAAGAAAAGCGGTACAGGCTGTGATGCTCCAGAAAGCAGCAGGGAGATGAATTCAGAAGTGGACTGTGGGTCACGTTTGAGCAGGGCTTCGGTATATCAGGAAGAGCAAAAACCAGTGGTTAAAGTGCAAAACCATCAACCTGGACAGAGGAGTTGTGGGCATATTTTGAATTTTGAAAAGCCTAAAATGTGACTTTACATATATATGTAGATATATGTGTGTGTGTATATCTATACGTATGTATGTATAGATATCTATGCTTGTATGTATAGAGAGAGGTGTGTGTGTGTAATATATATATAACTTTTTTGAATCATCTGGATTGGTTCACAGACAGTGAAGGTTTACCTCAAAATATATTGAGTTTTTTAATTTGGGGGGGATCCTTTATTATGAAATTGTTGCATGAAATTTTTCAGGGACCTTTCTGTGTTTTTCTTCCTTCTTGTAGTCTTTCGCATATATGTACCACCTCCCTTCCTTTCTCCATTTTCAAAGAAAACAGGAAGAAATAAAGTGGGAGAGTAACTGTTCAGCAAAAGTGTTCAACCTCAAGTTTTGGCCGCTTTGTCCTCCTTTTAGTATCACTTTTACCCATTGCTTGGTTTTCTGTTACATCCAAAGATGTAGAAAGGTGTGTGGGGAGGCAGGACAACACTGAAAATGGCAAGGGGAAAGGAGGAGGGGATTATATTGTGCTTAACCTAAAGCTTCCTTATGGAACTGATAACC